CATTCGCTGTCGCAATAAAAAAAAATCGCAAACAAATATCAGTGCCTTGCATGTTTCATTCTTCGTGAAATCTTCATTCCTTTAATTATACATTTTCATGCGCAAAATAATATTTATTTGCTCATTCATATTTTTCATGAATTTTTCTATAATTTATATTTATCGAATTATACTTTATTTAATACTTTTATACTTTTATCTAAATTAATATAAATTGATCAGTAAAGTTAACTAGTTATACTTTCGAGATTGAATTTCTAAATGCGACGAGAATCATAATTGTTCGAAAATGGATTGGCCGCATGAGTAACGATTATATAACGCTACTTTCTGAAATTTTTCGCGAATGGATATTCATTCAACAACACAGGCAGCTACGAACACGGTGTACGAGGTGGAACGACCGGCCTTATAACCAATGGGAGCTAAATAATGATAAAATGCGGAAGGCTAGCTAGTAAAAATGCAACAGCTCGTCTAACAACTACGAGAACTAACACCATTGGTTATATTTATATGTATGTACGTGTCATTGGCACATACGCGGTGTCGGAAAAGCGCGCGTACCGAGCACCTTGAAATACTAATCGCATTTTGCGACGAAAATGTCCGTTTTATCCTTCAATTAATATTGACAACGATAACATTGTAAATTAACTTTTCTATTCATTAATTATTGATTCATTTGTTAAATTACATTTGTACATATATTTATAGATATATGTTATGAGTAAATTTCGAGAGACTCGGAGGAGATTCTCGGTTCGCGCTCTTTTCCCACCTTGGCTTCAAAGTATCTCTTTTTCCAAAATGCTGCACTTCATTAGGGATGCCACATTCCATTTACATTGACGAAGCTTTCGAGAAAAGGTCTCTCTCACAGAATCACACACGATCACTCACTCGTTTGTTTTATCACTAATGGCACGTTGCTTTTGCAGCATGCAAGAGACATTCTTTTTCTCTTTTTCTTTTTTTTTTAAATTCCACTGATAACGAAAAGCGTTAGTATCGAATCGAACGCGTGAAATCGTCGTTTCACGTGCATTCTACAAAAGCAATGTGACGAAAAATTTATGCCGAAGTTCGTGACAGGATCTTTTCGCTTTAAAAATCATTATTCTCCAAATCGTACGTAAAAAATCATTAATCTCCAAATTGTACACGCGAATTATACACGCGTAAATAAAAAAATAATCATCAATCTTTCTCTCTCGATTAAAATATTGAGTCTCTGATAAAGTTTTTTCTCGTTATACATTTTTATATTGCAAATATTACACATTTTCCGCTAATTAAAAAAAATTTTTTACCGACACAATGGATAAGCACGACAGCAAGTTACAATATTTCCGAAAAAGATTTTACAGATTTTTGTAAAAACATTCGTTTATTACGTGATAACAATACAGGTGTGTTTCTAAGACCTCAAGTCTTAGCTTAATAATTATTCGCTCGTCCGTTAATAGCGTGCTGCTGAAGTATCAGATCCTGTCACGCCTTCGGAATCGCTTAAGCACTAAAAGCGATGGCGACACTTATGTCGTTCGAAGTAAATTCTACGTGTGCTTTACCGCGTGCCAGCACGACGTCGACCTCGCGAGAGATATTTGCATTGCAAAGGGCAAGACGATAGTGCCATTGTCGTTGATACTGATAGCAGGATTTCTAACCTGACATGTACGCGTATCTGACATGCGAAATTGTTCGCTCGCGGAATGACTCGCTTGATGCAACTAGCATAGGTATATACGGTAATTACAAGGCGCACGTCACACATCGTCAATATCGCCGTAAGATTACGTGCTGTGAGATCATCGCTGGATTTTTTTTTTTTACATCAAGTGCAGTTTGACGTGTATGCGTTAATCTCTTTAAGAATCTCATAGTTCACGTAAAAGTATCTTATTCCTATGCAAATGTCAGATTATGCGTGGCGAGACGGCGGTAAAAAAAGAACGACAAAAACGAGACCGGATTATACTTCACATGGACTACATTATTACGACTGGCAGCCAGTCACGTGAACACCGGGAATGAGTAACAAATTGACCGTAATACGGCAACGAAATATTAGCTAGTATCGGGCTCGAGTGCCTGACCGTGTTCCTTTATCACAAGATTTTCTTTCTTTCTTTCTTTTTCACGTGCACACGATTAAGCCGCTTTCACGCGACCGATCCACGCCGATTAAGCCTCGCAACACGAGTGGGCGAGAAATAAAAATGCGCGTCGCGCCCGATTTCGCGGCCAGTGCATCGTCGAGCGTGTTAGGCGCCGCAAATTGCAAGTCGCGCGAGAGTTTAATTAGCTCTGTCGTCGTCGACGCGTTCCGCCCTCCGGAAACTGGAAGTAGCCCATTTCGCGTTCTATATCACGGTCCCGTGATTGGTCGTTACAAGTACGGATGCGAAGCGACATCGACTTCCTGTCTGTACAACCCGTCACGACCCAGACGGGCCGGATTCAACTATAATCGTCTAATCGACGGCAAACACGTGCAATTGCGAGTTCTTACGCTCTCTCGACGTCACTCTAATATTAACATATCGATAAAACAACCGTAAAACCGTGGATTATAAATCATAAATTTGATATTAGATTCGCTAATTTCGAATCAGACATCGAAATATCATTTCTATTTCCGGCAAACGTTGTTAAGCCTTTGCCTACGTATTAATTGATTACAGAGCACGGTAATTGGCAACAATATATGTTAATGAGAAAATCGATGCTGCAGATCTTAAAATAGTAACAATGCCGGCAAGAATTCATTCGGGAAGTGAATTGTAGGGTAGAACGCAAGAGAAAAAGCATAATACGTCCGTTAAGAAGTATAATACCGGTTTGCGTGACTTTGCTCCTTTCATTGCAAAGCAAGTGACATCGATGACGAAAGCATTATCGATAAAATGTAATATGAGGTTAAAGAATATTCTGAGAATTCGTGAGATCGAAACGGTCGAACATAACAAAACTTGTTTCTCGTAATACTCCTATACACGAGTTACATGAGAGTTACTTCAACTTTGTACTTTAACTAGCCGGAAGTATCGTGTGCAAATGTTTGCTTTTATAAGCATTATTAGATCGCCTCCTTCCGTGCGACTCTCATAAGTGAAATAATTTTTGATGAATATATCCGTTGCTTTAAGTAAACTGAACTTGAAAATTATGGTTTAATAGAAAAAAAATTAACATTTGTGGATTGGAGATATCAGTCTTGCGACTGTCTGAAAAGAGGATTATCTCCTCACTTTTATTACAGAAATATTACAGAATATTTATAAACATTTTTTGTCGAGAGACGTTAAGAGAGTTAACCGAAGAAGATTAGGAGCCGTCAAAAAGAAATTCGAGTACGTCCTATTTCAAGTATAAAAGAAGATCTGTCTTTTAAAACAGACGTAAAAAATTGAAAGTGTTTATCCAGATTCATAACACCGATAAAAGATGATTAACGATCGGAGAACAATTTTTCAGGGAATAAGTTCTTGACGTGTCGAGATGCTTAAAAAATTTGACGAGGGATAACAACATCCATAAAAATCAAGATATTCCGAGATGGATACATTAGCAAGGCTTGAGACGCGACCTCGTGCATCTAATCAACAGTAGGTCGCTACACGTGACGTCGACAGACGTCGTTGGGATACTGGGTTACCGGTGCGACTTGATGAAGTGCACTTGAGTGTACTGGACGTGAGAATTGAATATGCACTCCGTCCAATTCGCCGCATGCCGGCTGTCGACACGATGTATTACTGCGGATCTTATCCCGACCTCCGTTGTCATCCACAGTGGAAGCAATTTGCATTACAAATCCGTATGTAACGCGAATGTTACCTTTTTCTTTAAAACTCCCCGTTTTCTCGATATCATTTGTATAAACGGTCCGCAATCGCGGCTACAATCTCGCACGACGCTTTCTGACTTAATCAATAGTTACCTCTCGCGACTTCTCGAAAGGAAATAAGTATAGGAGATCTGGCTAATAACGAAAATAATCGATATGAAAATAAGACCTAATAATTCGTAAATTCTCGAAAAATTATCTATATTTCTACCAATGTAGATTAACTTTCTTGGTTAACTTACTTCCTATCTTTTTCTAATTTTAAGAATTAGAAAAAGATACAGAGTAAATTAAACCGAGATTAAGGTTCATTCATATTGATCCGAAATGGATAGCCTAAATCACAGTTAAGAATTACGTAATTCCGACGAAAATCGATAACTGACAATGGCACTTCGTACTTGGCAAATGTTTTTATCAAGATCAGCGCGAGCTTGTAACGGAATGTCGCCATCGCGCTGCAAAGAAACGTGTACACGCGGTACAGTTGCAGCAGCACGTTCTCCTATTCTCATCAAGGAATATCGCTGTTTTTCCGGCATGTAATATTAGTTCTTCAGCCTCCTCTCGTCGTATCGAGGAGATATATATATATATATATATATACACGATGGACCGCTGTTCGTGCTGCTGCATCCGTTAACAAGATCATTACGATCCTCGCGACATCCTCGCATCCAGAACGTTCGGCGTTCTGCGGAAAACTTTTCCAATAAATGAACGAGAGAAACTGTCACGTGTACACGATAGAAAAACCGAATCACGTGCACGGTGCTAGCTTTCGTAGTTGTCGCCGATATGGCAACTACACGCGAGAAAGAAGAATGACAAAATAACATTGAATGTATGATAAACATTCTGAAAATAATTGTTGCGAAAGCACGTAAAGACATCTCCATTTGTTTTTCAAATTATCAATAACAATGGAAGATAAATATTTCAAATTAAAAAAAACAAATATTTTATTTAACTGTGTTTACATGGATATGTATGGCTTAATTAACATGTGAATTTAGAAAAAAATATGAAAAATACATTCTGGATGCGAGAATTTCGTTGGATATGATATTAGCTTAGAACTAGCAATATTATTAAGGGTGGGTTGACAGGGGTGGCTCGCAGCCTAAGGGTGACGTGAGCTTACCTTACTTCCCCTTTCGTTAAATATAATTTCCACGTCAAGGATTGGCCCAAATTGCTGAAAGGAGAAATATTTACCAAATTCAGAATATTAAAGTATATGTTTAATATTAATAGTGGAATATAAAATATAAAAGGTATATTATATATATATATATTACTAATATAAATTATGATAAATTTTGCACAAAAAAGGAAATTTGATATAAACTTTTCCACATTAATAGAATGAAATCGTGCAGATTATTATCGGTATATATAAAACAAAAAATGTTTGTTTCTAGAAGCTTTCTATCATTTTCTATTATTTTTTATAGTTCGTTAAAAATATTTTTATTTTTTATTAGAAGAGGCAAGAAAATAACAGAATCATAACATGTATACATATTATTCCTTTTATCTACATCGCAATCGAAAGGGTGAGAGGCGAGCAATCTCCCACCAACAAAAGCAAATATAAAGACATCGAATAATAAAAACATGAACAAGTAGGGTGGGAAAAAATTGTACTACTTACCCCGAACATTGCCCTGAGGTCAGGGTCTCGGAAACGAAAAGGTATGTTGCTGACGTGCAAGCGTTTTGGTTGACCTTTGAGGTCGGTGCCTTGTGTCGCTGTCGCAGGTGTCGTCGCGCCTGACGTGACAGGTACCAACGCAGTAGCCTCCACTCCGCCTTCAGGGTTGGTCTCACTTCCACCGCCCGCAGCTGCCGCTGCTACTACTGCAGCCTGAAATACCTCCGACTATTGTCGGAAAAAAAAAAAACTTGAGACTGTATTTCGTTGATAATGCGAAGAAAGGAAATCACAAAATCCGGCTTGTTGGTTAAAGCAAGAAGTATCATTTTTTCGATTTAAAGCTCATAAACTAGAGTTTATTTCAACTTGCATTGTCAGGAAGGGACTTGATTTACAAAAATAAACTTAACACATATCCATCCATATCTTTAAGTCTAATTCTTGCAAACGCTCCTTACAATAATTATTATTGTATCCTAAACTACTTTTATCACAAGACAAAGTAGAACCAATACAAGAAAATTTTAGAACCAATATATAGGAATTTTCTTAAATTTCTTATACTACATTACATATCACTGCTTTCTTTAATTCAGCGTTTGTTCCTTTAATAATCTGTTAATCTACTCTTACTTATTCACATGACATACTTCTATTATTACAAATCCCATATCTTAGCTTTTTTCCTCTCTTGCTGATTTAAATCTTATATATGTTTTGTACTTATGTATACGAAAATTGTCGTCAGAAATCAGGAAGTTTTGGTGATAAATAAAAGATTTAAAAGAAAAGTGAAAAAGATCGAAATCAGTGTTTAGAATATTTACTGCAAAGTAGATAGAAGATAGATGGAAAATAATTGATGCGCGACGACAAGAGAATCAATAAAAAGAAGAAGCAAAGCACCGGTGAAACTAATAAATGGCGCAAACAACTCGGTGATGCGGTTACAAACTTTACTTTGCGATACTTTGGCGTGCGTGTAGAGTTACTGTAATGTATGCCGACATAATGTGCACAACAACATGGTTGACGACGCAAAGCGAAGTAATGACTGCGCTCGCGGGATGATGAAACATTGCTTCATTTACGATAAACAACTGTGTAATTAGCGAAGCGGAAAAATTTGTTCAGCATTCGAGATATATTCTAGAAAATATTAACGGCATTAATTTTGCATGTGGTATTGCTATTAATAATAACGACGAAGCAGTAATTAGTACCAACGTATTAAACGAGAATCATTTATGTCGTTTCGTGACTTGAAATTGAATTCAAAGTGATAAAATATATTGTTATTATATCAAAATATATAATTTCATGTGCGTCGTATGTAGATAGGTATAATGTCTTCTATCATATGCATCTATGGAAAGAAATTCTATTATCTTCTTATTTAATGCAATGAATACATAATGTATAACGTTACCATTGCGTGATACTATAACTGATTATATCGATGAAATGATAAATCACCACCAATGTATCGTGTTAACAATTCTCCTTCGGCGACACAATAATAAATTATACAATAATACTGATATTTTCTCATAAAAAATCTATTAATCTTCTATAAAACGGAAATTATATCTTTGTCGTTTTATACAAAACTAGAAGCTTTGCCACATGATAAAATAATGCGTAAATCGTATCTTGATAATATTTTGGTGTCACGTTCCTCGCGCGCGCGTTCCGTGTAATTTGAGGCGTCTAAGATATGGAATTATTACTAAAGTACATCCAATCTCGAATAGATCGTAAACAATGATTTATAGTGTACGTGAACGCGGCTGTGGAACAACATAAGCCAGGAATATGATCGTTCGTATTAAGTTGGGAACACGGCGGAAGCTGTAAGTGGTAATATCTGAAAGTGGTCAGCCAAATGGCCGACCTTATCATGCCTGCACTACTAACGGCAGGCAAGTGAATGCGCATCGTGCACGGTCAGACACAGCTGCTACTTCGGGTAACTTACGAAATATTGGAAATATAAAGCTACTATTTTACTAGTAATCCATTTCCTTTTAGTATATAAATTTTCGCAGTCCTAAAAGCAACAGAAATAAATAATTTTTTAAATAAACCATGCACTTAAATAAAATACACAAATTAATTTCTACGTACACTCGGTAAATTTACACGAATTATAATTATGCATATAAATTATATTATTAACTAAGAAATTCATAGGTTTTAATTTATCCAGTTTAAGAAAATTAATTTTTTTTTCATCAAAAAATTTAGGTATAGATAATATTTCATTAAATATATTTTTCTACAATTTTCTGCACTTTCCTTGTTAATTATTGCATACAATACCTATTGTAAATCGAATGTTATTATTCATTATGCATTCTCGATGCATCATCGCCGGATTACAAGTTCCGATGAGAGCGCGTCAATATACTGCCGGGCGCACTTTTATGACGTTGGTGAAAGCTTGTTTCGTGGGAGATTGAAACTTTTTTTTCCAGCCCCAATCTACGTGTGCAAAAGAGGCGAACGGGGCTTTTCTGACGCGGTAGCGAGCGAAAATTTAACAGAGTGGAAAGCAGAACGAGCTATACCAACCCTCGTACGACATAAACCGTCCACGAATATATATCCCCCAATCCATTCTTTTAACGTACGCCACTGGCGATTATTTGGGAATAATTTCGACAATTTCTTTCTTCATTTATCCGTTTTATTTCTCTGTTGAACACTCATCTTTTTATTTCGCCTTTCTATCCATTTAACGTAAGATGTAGCACACTGTTGGTAACGTTCAAAGCTTTTTAAAATAATTATAGAATATTATTATCTAAATATATGATTATTTATTAAATAACGTATAATTTCTACATGCCGCCGCATTAATGTAATAATATTATGATACAAAGTAAATTAAGTATAACTAAAATTTATTACTCAACTGTTATGATTATAATTTCATAAAGAAAATTATTTTATTAATAACTCAAAACACAAACAAGTTAATTATTCACAATTCCAAATGTTATATATATATTTATTTTTCATTTATTATCTATTTATCTTAAAATTCTTGTTCTTATATTCTTGATTTATTATTTCGCTCATTAAATGAAAATTTTAGTAATAATAATACATGGAAATTTGTCAAACAAGCACATAATTATATACAATCATCGAAAAAAATTAATTCCAATGCTTTTTCCTAAGATATTTTGCGTGACATGTTAAAGAAAATACGAGTACCTCTCTGCTTTCGTTTCGCAATTGATGAATTAACCGCTCCAATTTAACGAAATTATTCCGAATTGACGAATGACGCTGCTCGTAACACGAAATAATCGAAATCGCGTCGGTGGTATTTCCTCTCTCGACTTTGCGGATATTGGTGTCAGATATTCGAGAGCATTATTCTTCCCAAGACTTCGACGTATTCGAGCATTAGCGAAAAGCACGATAATTGCGTTGCCGTGAAGGTATTTTCCCGCTTCCTTTTCAAACCGTGAGACTCTTATATTTCGTACAAGACTTCAATCAGCAAGATATTTATTTAAAATAAAAATAAAAATGAGAAAGATATTTATAAAATAATAGAAACTAAGAGAGATTTCCTCTCACGTCATTTGCATTACTTATATCTCTTAATCTATACAATTGTTACACTCCGTTGTACTAATTATTTTTGAAAGAAATATTGTTTATAATTATTGTACTTACAAGAATTTAATCAAAACAAAAGATTGAGATTTATTACAAATACAAAGGAAACTGAAATTGCCAAGAATTATTATTTTAGGTTGACATTTATAACAACGCTGCCTGTTATGTCATATTTATCTAAATATTAATGGAATATAAAAAAGGTTTTTAATAAATTTATTTTTACTTATCTATAACTATTTACACTTTCTCGAGTTTAATTTACATTCGACTACTAAAATATTCCTAAATTAGGCAAACCTCACAATGGAACTGGCAAATTGAATTTTTAAAGCTCCGCATCGAGCAGTCTCTCGAGTCATCCTCGTTAGGTATGCTTCTATTCGTCCCGGGAATCGGCATCCAAACGAACTACTTAATATTCTGGTAGCATGCAATGTCCACGGCGGAGATGCGCGAAATACACTCGGATACCAATTGACGCGGAACATTTATTCCCACAACTTTCGATATAGCATCGTTCGCTTGCTTCAAGCCAATGGCTGACAAGTTTACTACAACAGCGAAACTGTTGAACAAATTTCAAGCGATACGTGCTTTACACAAAATTGTGTGTTGGCAAAAATATAATATTTTGTTCGTAACTTCCTTTGATTTAACGTAATTTTAACTTGTCGATAAAGACAAAAGATTTATTTATCGACAAAAATACAAACGTAGAGTATATAATGAAATATTGTTTAAATATAATATAAATATAATAAAAAAATATAAATATAATAAAATATATACATATATAGAAGAGAAAACGACTGTCAGTATAATTGTTGCACAATAACAACTCCATACTTTATTAGCTCTTTCGTAATATAGAACAGTGCAAAATAAAACTTTAAAAAGATATCTTTTCGCGTTTTAATCAGATTCGTTTCATAATTTATATTTCACGAATAAATAATTTAGCAAAGTATTATTATATTATATATTATTTCCAAAATCGCGAAAAATAAACAAAATTTATGTATATAATTGCAATGACTGCATTCAGAAAATAAAATGTTGAGTTAGCGCTTAATAATTATTGCCTGTGATTGAAACAGACCTTTAGATTCATGATAAATTTAGAAACACATACCAATAGCAACGAGCTTTTCGTTGTGTTTTCTAAACATAGCCAATATATATATATATTATCCCATTATACATTCTATATTTATTAATCGATAATGTCAATCCTATTTATCTTATCAGAGATAGATATTGTATCAACAATTAGAATAACTTCAATATTTATACTATGTAGGGATTTACGTCGCCAAAGTTAGAAAAAAACAGAAGGAACAAGAATAATTTACACACAATCACTGTTATATTCTTTTGTGTATATTCGTATTGTATTATGATATTAGTTTTTTTATTATTAATGTTAATAAAATCATTTGAATAAATTTGCCAAAGTAAAAAGCGCAATCAGGATTCATATAAAATGATTACTGTAGGGAATACAAATGGCTTAATGATTATTTGGTGATACATATAGATACAAGATGTCTGTCTAGCTGCCTCCCCCCTCCTTAATCATATCTTAA